ATAGGAGAGTCCTATGCAAGCTTGTTTGAGAAATTAAAGCATTATGACATAATTGCACCTATTCCTCCAAATCATGTGGACCCACGTGCAAGAAGCTTTGACCCTTCTAAAAGGTGTGAATACTATTCCAATGCTTAGGGGCACAATGTTGAAAGCTGTCGGGATTTGAAAAGAGAAATAAAAGGGATGATCCAGGGAAACCTGATTGTGATCCAAGACAGTGACACCCAGAATATCGCACAGAATCCTTTACCTGCACATGATGATGCACACTTTGTGGGGATGATGCATGGTGACAGGGAGTATGAGAATCCTCTCGGGAATTTGCTAACTGAAGTTAATAATTTTGAAATTGGAGAAGGCTTTGATGATCCTGATGAGCGAATTTGTGGCTAAATGTCAAGCTTAGCAATTGAAAAGTTATTCCCTCCTCACTAGGAAGGAATCTTGGTAGTTTGTTTTGATGTTTTTTCTATTATCTGGGTTATTTCAGGGTTGTGATCCAGATTTTATTTGTTTTATTGAGTCAAACCCTTCGATCCATCCATTCTGTTTGTGTGAGTCTTGTCTTTCTGTTCTGTTGCTATTTTCATTAGTCAGGTTATTTAGGGTTGTAACTCAGATTTTAGGTTGTTTGTCTGGTTGTTTACTCAATGAAATACAGTTTGTCCTTTTGTGTCATTCCATGCTTAGTTCTTTTCCCGCGAGTTTTGATGACATGACATGCATGCGGAATTTTTGGCCAGATCTTAGAAAATTGATCTAAGTTTGAATTGGACAACTAAGGAAACGACATTTTTGAGGGAATAAAGAGTTGAAATACTTTGAAATTAAGGTCGAGTAAAATTCACCTTCAAATCATTGTGAAGATCGGGCTTGAGGATGTTTAATCAATTGAAGTTTGTTAGAAATTTCGACATTAAGGGACGGAAAGTGTCTTGTGACCATGACACACCAAGAAGATAGACATGTTCGTCAATGCTGGGATCGCGAAAAGATAACATGATTGGCATTCTCGAGGCTAGGAGGCCCTTTTTCTGCTATCCAAACACTTCATATCTTTCGCTGCCCTTTTTGAGCCTGTATTATTTTCTTTGACCATCCACTTTTGGAATCAAGTTTAGAGTCAAGAGTCAAAAAAATGAAGAATGAAAAAAAAAAGAAAAATGAAAAAAAAGAGTCCATGTCCCAAGAGTACAAACTGGGGCAATTCTTAGAAAGTTCAAGTGAAAAGAAAATGAAGAAGAGAAGAATTGTCAAAGGTCCATGCCCTAAAAGAAATATAGAAGCTGGGGCAACTTGTTTTGAAAAAAAAAGATAGAAAGAAAAGAAAAGAAAAAGAACAAAAAAAATAGAAAGAAAAATGAGAAAAATAGTTAGGTCAGATGTTTGAACTACGTTAGACATGATTCCTTTAAAAAGGATACGTAGGCAGCCTTACGGTTCGGACCAACCAAATAAGAATTTAGAAGAAAAAGGAAAAAATAGAAAAATCCAAAAATCTTCAGCATCTGAAACTGGGCCAAAGATTTTATTTCATTTTTGAAAGAGTCGATTCCAAGAGTTGTAAGTCTACAACCCCTCATTTTGAGTTTATTTTGAGCCTTCATGCCGACCTTTCTTTCCAACCCTATCCAAAAACCTTCCAAATAAAGACCTCCCAATATGCCTTCAAGAATGCCAAGAGATGCATGCAATGAGCAACAGTTGTCACACGACGTAGAACATCGTCAAGTTGCTCACAAAAGAGGGAAAGAAAAAGAAAAAGAAAAATGAGAGAGTCTTACTAGTGAAAACCCTCACAGGCACTGTAAGGCGACGGCAAGAAGAGATGAATAAATGAGAGAGACTTGTTGGTGAAAACTCCTCGGGGCACCACTAGTCGAAAGTGAGTCATAAAGCTGGTGCGAAGAATTGACATAAACAAGCCTGACTTCAAAGATCATAAGAATGGTAGAAGGGAAGATTGGATTAGTTTGATAGATCAGTCCGTTGAGTCCAAAATGCATGTCATGATTATTAAGGCTAGTTATTAAAAAAAAGGGAAAAAAATCTCTTCCTCCTGTCCTTCCGACAGGGGCATTTCTTGTTAATACTTGTTTTTTGCATCATTATGTCCTTCACTCTGAGTTAGTCCTTGTCAAAACAAGCAAGAAAAGATTTTAAAATCTGCTACCAGCGTTTCAATTGCATAAAGTAAATTTGGCCTGCACTCAGTTGTTATTGTCAATATACCTTGAGGATTCATGCAAAGGCTCCCCAAAAAGGCTCTTGTCAGCCTACTTGGCGCAAGAAAGATAACTTGTGATTCTCTTTGACAGACAAATTGCTCAAAAGTAGGAAGTCATTCAAGATATCAGAAAAGGTCATCTAAAGAAAAGATCTCCAGTTGGGATAATGCTGCTTGAGCCAGAAATACAATGGTACTGGGTGTGAAACAATTAGGGTTAATGTAGAGCAAAAGTCTCTTGAAGCTGACTCAAGCTGATTGAGCAGAAGCCAAGCTGCTCAAGACTCAAGGCCACAACCAACCACCACTTTTAAAACTGAAAAAAATTTCTTTGTTTGAAACAGAAACAAAGCAGTGCAAGGGAAGTGGTTCAAAAGAAAAAAGAAAAAAAAGAAAAGAAGAGAAGAGAAGAGCCGACAAAGGGAAGTTTCTCAAATCTTTGCCTTTACTTGTCTGCATGTGCATAAAATGTTGCCATTGCACACACACTTTTCCTCCTAGGATCGAAATCTTAGTCTGATGAATTTTTCTCCTAAGATAGAAGACCTAGTATGATGAATTTTCTCCTAGGATCAAAATCCTGATCTGATGATTCTTCTCCTAGGATCAAAATCTTAGTCTGATGAATCTTTCTCCTAAGATAGAAGACCTAGTCTGATGAATTTTCTCCTAGGATCAAAATCTTAGTCTGATGAATTGTTCTCCTAAGATAGAAAACCTAGTCTGATGAATTTTATCCTAGGATAAACATCTTAGTCGGATGAATCTTTCTCCTAAGATACCAAAAGAAAAAAAAGAGAGAAAAAATGACCTAGTCTGATGAATTTTCTCCTAGGATAAATGTCTTAGTCTGATGAATCTTTCTCCTAAGATAGAAAACCTAGTCTGATGAACTGTCTCCTAGGATCAATATCTTAGTCTGATGAATCTTTCTCCTAAGATAGAAAACCTAGTCTGACGAATTTTCTCCTAGGATAATTTGAAAAAAGGAAGTCTGGATTTGAAAAAAAAGGGGTCAATTTTTAGTTTTCTTAAGTAATCAATGTTTAGTTTTCTTGAAATCAGGGGCCCCGCCTGGAGAATAAGGTCAGTCTTTACTTTAGTCAAGCTTAGTTTACAGTTTTCCGCAAGCTCAATCACTTTTAGGAGATGCACATCCTAGTGTAGTATTTAGTTTACTCTGATCATTGCATCAATAGTATAAGTGGTTTACAATATTGCTAACAACTCACAAATCTTCCTAGTGAAAATTGGAGCAGAAAATTTCGTTTGTTTTGTTGGTTTTGATTGCAGACACCCGTATGGAAAACAAGGGAACACAGAAATTTTCAGCAATTAGGCGCCCACCTGGAGAACAAGGAAAAACGGTTCAAGTTTCAAGGGAAGATAGTTCAAGTTTTAAGGGAAAACAACTCCGAAGGAAGACAGTTCAAGTTTAGCAATCAGGTGCCCACCTGGAGAACAAGGGAAGACAACTCAAGTTTCAAGGGAAAGCAGTTTCGAAGGAAGACAGTTCAAGTTTCAAGGGAAAATGGTTCAAGGTGCAAGGGAAAACAGTTCAAGTAACAAGAGAAGACGGTTCAAGTTCAGCAATCAGGCGCCCACCTGGAAAAAAAAGGAATTCAATTCAGAATGCAATTCCGGTCAGCAATAAAAGAAGCTTGTGTCAAGAATGTGAGTCAACAGTACGAGATGATCAACAGAAGTTAGTCACAATCCAGAATAAATAAATAAACAAAAAGATAGGCAAGAAGTGAATCCAAATGCAGAAGTTGATGAAAGATGTGATTTGCTCAAGACATGGCTGAGGTCACAAGCTTTGCATGTCCCGTCTTGATTTGAAAAGCTAAAGAAGATTGAACCAACACCTGCAGCTAACAAGCATCAAGATTCAGATCAGGGTCCGCATGAAGAACCAACCAAGACACAAGATCAAGCTTCAGAAGACTCATAGATAGGAATCTTGTAACTCATAGCTGATAGGCTTAGTTAATCTTTTTCATTTTTGATTTTGATGTAATAACGGGACTGCGGACCGGAACCTCGATGGAACGGCACCTCGACCGGCTCTCCACCTCGGCACACTTCATCATCTCAATCACTTCTGAACTACAGGTGGCCTGATTCCTTTATAGCCAAGGATATGTAGGCAGCTCAGATATCAGGGCTCGGTCACATTACCCTCTCTCTTAGTTTTAGTCTCTCCAAATAAGGGTCGGGTCAAAAAACCAGTCTAGTCGTTCTTTGTCTGAAAATACTTCGTCTTTCCAGTCAAAGAGGGGCAGCTGTAGACAAGTGATTTTTGACCTTCCCCAAGATTTTTTATATTTTAACATGTAAATATTTAGTTTAGACCTAATATCTTTATTTCAACTAATTTTGACCCTTTTACTTTATTTCGTCACAAAAAATGAAAATTACAAAAAATATTTTAGTTTACGTATCTTTCGTAAATTTAAATAAAAAATATACAAAAATAGTAACTTATCTTTATTTTTATATAATCTTGAAAATACAAAAAAATAGTTTTATATTTTATAGTTTAGTTCAATTAATTAAAATTAGTTTTATATTTTTATATCATAATTGTATATAATTTTAGAAGGAGAAATTAGTTTTAGGTTGGTTTATCCCATTTTTATAAATCTTGTAGTCCATTTTTTTAGTCTTTGGCCCAATTCCCTATCCCATAATTCCTAGGCTCATACCCTTAACCTAATCCCTACCCTATATAATAGTACCTAAACCTATAAACCTAAAAAACGAAGAACATCAGTCGTTCCATCATCACAGCTAGGATTCTTCTTCATAAAAACATAAAAACAACAACAGACCCCAATTCCAAAAAAAATCAATTACTCCCCAAGAGACCTAATCCTAGAAGAAATAGAGGACTTACCTTCTTCTTCCACACAGAAAAAGGCTTCAGTCGATCACCCCAATTCAAGAGAGAAGTTAGTGGCGGACTTTCACTTTCTTCAGCAGACTTATGCCGTTTCTCCACATCCAAAAATCCATAATGATCAAGCCAAAATCTAGTTGAAATAACCCCCAAAAGCAGCTCACTTTCAGCTGAAAACTCCATGAAAACCAGATAGAAGACATCTTCATTTTTTTCGCCAAAAACGACCTCAAGAATGTGTAAAAAAACTAGCTGAAAATTCCACCCCGAAACATCCCTAAATTTCATCGAAATCAGCCCCAAAAAATATTGAAAACGGTCTACAAAACACCATGAATCTGTAGCAACAGTACCATATTTGTGGTCCAAGGTCGATTGGCGAGTTTTTCCGGTTCGAGGTTCCTGTCTGTAGCACGTTTGAGGACCGCTATTTTGAATACTCTTTTACGCTATACCTGTTGGAATATTTTCAGTAATTAAGTTAATTTAATACAAGAAAGCTTAAATTTTGGTGGGTTTTGTCAAGGATTACGAGAAAATTGAAAAGGTTTGAAGTTATGGCGTAATCAGAATTGAGGACGGACATTTTTCTTTGTAAGGTAATTTTTACTGATTCTTGATGCTCAATTTGGATAATATGATTCTTGTATTAAATTGGGTTTTCAGGATTTTAGATTGTTGTATTAATATTTTGAGCTTTCTAGAATACTTTGGGCTAAAAATTTGTGTTCATTTTCGTAAAGAATTGCTGAATTATGTGGGATATTTTGTGAAGTTGTTATGGGGTTTGGTAAATTTTCTGGAATTGTGATATTGCTGATGCTTAATTCTCATTTGGGTTTTTGATTTATTACTTAAAAAGGGTTTGAAGAGGTCTGATTCATTGGCTAATATTTTGTATGTTCTTAGGTTAATTTGAGTTAAAAATTGATGATTTTAGTTGCTGAGTTCTGTTATTGTATTAAGAATTCTTAAATGACTCGAAAAATAAGTAAGGTTTCATTTCTATAGCATAGATATGTGCAAGAATCATCGTGATTGTGTACACGTTCGCGTGACATAATTACGAACCTTTTCCAAAATAAATTAAGGTATGCGTTCGCGCAACTTTGGTCAAGCTTTTTCTATAATAACAAGGCATTATTAATTGTGGACACGTTCGCGTGACATGATTTTTGACGCGCCAAACAAATGGGTACACGTACGCGTGACCCGTTTAAAGATAATTTTCTTAATTTAAAAAGCGGTAAAAGGTAAATTCACATAGGTTCTAAAATCAGTAATTAAATAATTTGATTAATCCAAGTATGATCAAAGCGACCGTGCTAGAACCACGGAACTCGGGAATGCCTAACACCTTCTCCCGGGTTAACAGAATTTCTTACCCGGATTTCTGTGTTCGCAGACTATAAACAGAGTCAATTTTCCTCGATTCGGGATTTTAAACCGATGACTTGGGACACCATAAATTATCCCAAGTGGTGACTCTGAATTCAATAATTAATCTCGTTTCAATTGTCACTTAAATTGGAAAAAGCTCCCTTATGCTCCCATCCGGGGGTGTAGGTAGAAAAATAAGGTGTGACGAATATCAGGGCTCCAATCTCTGAGTAGACATTTTATATATAGGGCTTCATGCCCTGAACTTTTCCCTTCTAGATAGATGCAATCCTTATTTTATTTGCTTTCAAAAAAAATAGAGGAAATAGTTTAGATTTTGTTGCAAATAACTCACGAAATTTTCCTAGTGAAGACTGGGGCAGAAAAATTTCGTTCGTTTGTTTGTTTGGTGTCTGAGCAGGTTTACCCCGAGACACAGGGTTTGAGATGACCAAAAGAATGAGTCTCAATCCAGAATAAAGAAAAAAATAAAAAGAACAATAAAAAAAGAAGAAGTGAATTCAAAGTGCTGAGGCAGACAAAGATGCGGACAGCTCAAAACTCGATTGAAGTCACAAGCTTCGCCTGTCCCGTTTTGATCCAAATGCCGAAGAAAGAAACAGCGCCTACAACTGGCGAGCAACGAGATTCAGATCGGAGTCTACAGCAAAATCAGCTAAGACTCAAGATCAAGCTTCAAGAGATTTATAGATAGAATCTTGTAACTCGTAGTTGATAGGCCTAGCTAGCATAGCTTTTTGATTTTCTTTTGGTGTAATAAGGAAGTCAGCAAGAAGTAGCAGCAGCAATAGCAGTGAAATCACAGCTCCCGGTAGTCCCAGGTACCGAAACTTCCAGAACTACACTGACCTGATTCCTTTATAGCCAAGGATATGTGGGCAACCTTTGAAGCAAGGTTCGGTCAAACTCTTTTCAAAAATTCTTCTCATGGAGTGTCAAACGAACAAAAATCCCTCATAATTGCTCATTTTATCTTTTCCCGAAAACTCTTCATGTCTCCGAGCAAAGAGGGGCAGATGTGAGCACGTGATTTTTGCCTCGCATGAATTACTCCTACAGAATCCCCAAAATTAGGATTTTTCTTTTTATTATTTGGTTTTAAGGAATTAATTGCTCAATTTTCGTGTTTGTTTACATTTTGTGTGCATATTTAATTTTATTTAAATCATGAAAAATAGCAAAAATATCACGCATTGCATTTAGGATTTAATTTTACATTTTTTAGATTAATTAGTAAATTAGTTTGTCTTACGAAAATGAAAAAATCACCAAAAAATAACTCATTTTTTGCATTTTTTAATTTCTAGTTTCGCATTTTGGTAGTTTTCTTTCAATTTGGTATTTAATTAGTTGTGGTAATTATTATTTAGACTTAATTAATTTAATTTAGTCGGATAATTTGATTTAGGGATTAATTTAGGTTTTTCTAATTTAATTTGGAAAAAGAAAAGAAAATTAGAAATTGAAAAAAAAAGGAAGAAATGAAAGCAGCCCAGATTTTGGGCCTTTTTAATTGAAATTCCCCAAGCCCAATTAACTCAACCCCCCCTGAAACCCGTTTACCCAAGCCCAAAACCCGTCTCACCCGGTCCAGCCCTCCTCTCATCAAACGACGTCATTTAGGTGACCAGCAGATCTGAGCCGTCGAGGTTCTTTAATCCAACGGATCCAAAGTGGGAGACCGCTTAATATATATATTTGTCCAAACACCCTTACCCCCCCCCC